ATCAGCCTTTATTCTATTCCTGTTAGCAGCTGCCCCCTGAATCATTTCACCACCAGGGCTCCTTCATCCAGCCAAGCCAAGAGAGCAGAAAGGTCAAGGAGCTCTGGTTAAAGAGAAATGATAGTCCCCAGACTCAACAAGGCTTGAAACTAAACCTTGATCTTGAGGTGACTCACTTCAGAGTACTAAGTACATGGCTGTATTTTCCTGGTTGCTAGAAAGCCAAGTTCAATTTTCAGTTCATTAACAATCTCTCTGCTTAAGGAATCTATCACTTCTATACCACAGAAAAAATATGAGTAGAGAAACTAAGTTCCTTTCCTGGAGGCGGAGGACGAGGAAGAGGAGGTGGAGGAGGAGGAAGAGGAGGAGGAGGAGGAGGAAACATTCTTCAGATATGTGGGCTTTTAAGCAGAGAGGAAAGTCACCCATGAGTGCGTGAGAGTGGTCATTTGGGAATCTCATTTCTGTCAAGTCAGGAAGGACAGCTGTACATCAGAAGGGGCAGGAAGAAAAACAATTTTCTGCTGGTTTTCTTTAGGACCTGGACAGACCTCCAGGACCGTTTAAAGATTTTACACTTTTGTTCGCCCATTGTTTACTGGGAGATACACGGGCATTTATATATAAATAAATGTATGTGTGTGTATACACACACACACACACATATATGATAAAGGTAATCAAGCAGGACACACACACACACACACACACACACACACACACGATAAAGGTAATCAAGCAGGACTATTTTTAAGAACATGGTCTCTGCAGAGGGAGGTTGCCATGGGAATGTCTAGGAGCGTTCAAGGCCCAGGCTATTTCTCCGAGAAAATCTTGCTCTTGGGTTTCCTGCCAGGCTCCATCTATCACTCCTCCTTTGTGTTGTTGTTGTCAGTCTTCTCATCTCCTTAACGGTGACCGTGATCTTGAGGACCCGCTGTTTTCCTCGACAGTTGTGGACGTTAGAAGTTTCTCCTGCTAGGTAGCACTGCAGGGAAAAGTTGTATTTCTGCGGTTCCTTTGTCCATCTTGTAAGAATCACCAATATGCCAGCCTTTCGTTAACACAGTTTGAGGACAAACAGTCTCAATTTTTATTGCATAGACTTGGCATAACTTCTTCGTGTAGATTGAAGAAGCCCCTTACACTGCATAGTACACTGACTGGCAGGTCCAAAAAGCAACTGAGGTTTTAATGACAATTTTCCAGGCATTCACTGAAATAAGGAAAATCACAGTGGTCTAGTCTAAATTCAAAGTCTTGTTGTGTATTTATGTGGTTTTGTTTTGAAGTAGTTTTGATTTTGCTGGAGTTAGGTGCTGTCTAGTGGATGTTGACTCGGAGACCCTCATTCCTTAATAAAAATATAAAGACGTGCCATGTTTACATGATAAATACCATCTGCTTTTTCTCTACGCGCTCTTTCTATTCAACCCTCATCACTAGCATTCATTTACGTGGTATTTTCTGTTGCATCTGTCTGACGGCACTCAGCAAGAATGGCAAATCCTAAGTGCTGACAAGAACGTGGTCGAGAACTGAAGCTCCAAACGGAGAGTCCTGGAGGAAATGGCTCCGTTTGCTTAGCTGACCGCCTGAGTAAAGTCAGAGCTTCAAGAGCGGATGCCAACACGGATGACGTCTTCTAGAGGCTTTCTGCAACAGTATAAATGTCTATGGGATGAAATAAAAAACAAAAACATTCTCTGTGTTCAACTTTTCAAATGGGAGCATTTGCCCAGATAGCAAATGCTATAAGCAGATAAAAAAGTATTCCAATTATAGCTAATCTATCTTGTGGGTCAAGTGCTTCCTGTCTTAGGGTCTGTGGATGGTGCTGGGGAGATGCTCAGCTGCTAACCCAAAGGCTGGAGGTTCACGTCCATTCAGAGGTGCCTCTCAGGAAAGTCCTGGCAATGTACTTCCAAACATTCACCTTTAAGCCAGTCTGACTTTTGTGTCCAAACAGTTGCCCTCGGTCAGAATCAACTTGATGTTAATTAATAGGTTCATACTCCTATGTAATGAAGGGTGATCTGACCATCAACTATAATTTTCTTTCTGCATGACTATGCTTTATATATTTTAATCAGCTGACTTTTAATCAGCTTAGGGACTGATTCTAGTCTTCAAAAAGGTCTAGTCTTTTTTGGATAAATGACTTAGATACCACTGAGAAACAATGTCTTTGCTCATTCAGTCTATCTTTGAAGATTTTAACAGAGACTCTAAGATTATAGACTAAAACTATAATTTATCTTTTATTTTTAGTTCCATGAAACTGTTAAATTAGATGAATAGAAGGCTATCCAAGAATCAGGAGTATCTTTTATTGTCTGTGAATGCATTCCAACAAAAAGACTGCTTGGGGAGCAAGGTCGATAGATACAGGAGCTACATCTGATTCTCGGCAGACTGTCCACATGTCTCATGGAGCCTTATTTGTCTATGGTCCTGGACCCCTTTCAAAAACATTCTGTTCAGGAAAATGAGAAATGTCACATTTCCGCTTAGAGGGAAAAATACATTTTCATGAACTAAGGTTTCATTTTTGTGCTTCCAGTGGGATAATATTACTGTTGATTCGAAAGAGGGTGTTGTGATGTTACATATAACATTTATGCTATACATAAAATGACAACAGTTCTTCGACCTCTTCCGGAAGATGGATGGTCCCAGCTGTAGGGCCCCTGGAGGATCACTCTATCCTATGCTTCTCTTTAAAGTCTGACTTTGAAATAATTTTTAGTTTAAAAATAAACCTGGTTTCTAGTATACAAAATTCAGTTTCAGCTTGATCAGTTGAGGCTACGTCACTTTCCCCTCTAAATTTAGTAACCACTGAAAGAGAAATGTCTGCCCCCATGTCCTGCACACGTATTGAGTAAAATAGCTATGTGGAGAACAGAGTTGATCAATTCAACCTTTTTCTAAAAAGCACTTACATGCATTGTAGGGTATTACATGCATGCACGCATACACACAAACATGCAAGAGACAGGTGGAAGGTTAAGATGATTGGGGCTGAGGTCAATTCACTGGCTAGAAAGACCAAATGGAGAAAACATTTGAAAGCACAGAACCCCAATCGTGAGAGTAAGCGAAAATTGGGAGAAAACAGAGCAGATCCAACAATAAATAAACAAAATAAAAAATGTGTCCTAGTATCTTAATCTTCAGATTGGAAAAAGTTTAGGAAGGGTTGATGAGAAAAGACACCCCCCCAGGTATATTCTTGAAAAGGTCCTGACATCCCAGGATACAGAGAACGTCTTGCGAGCTTACAGATCCATCACCTGGCCACCAAACAAGAACGCAACTACTTTCAAGAGGAAAAACGAAATGCCACCAGCATCAGATGTCTCCTCTACCCTTCTGGAAGCCATAGGCTGCAAGAATGGCATCTATAAGCGACTGAAAGAAAATCAACGAAGGGGCTTGCACGGAGAGTCCTCCAGACATCTAGAAGAAACTGAGTCAGAACAGTGCCACTCTGGAACTCAGCTCCCTGTGGCCAGGCTGATTCCCACCAGGGGCGCGATGGGACAGAGTTGAATGGTAGGGTTTGCAAAACGGTCAATCTTCGTGGGAACAGGCAACCTTATTTTTCTGGTGTGTCTGAACCGCAGAGCTTGCATGTAGCAGCTTCACCACTTCACCCAGTGCACCCCAGACTTCCTTAAACAACAGCATACCATCAGGTGGTTTCCAACCCACGAGACAGGGTTTCCAAGGCTGTAGACGTCTCTAGAAGCCGACCCACAGAGCAGCTGGTGGGCCCGAATTGTCCAACTGAGATTAGTAGCACATTTCCCTGACTGTGTGTGCTGCCAGGGCGCTACAAGCCACAGTGGGAAATGTGCAGTTGTGTTCTGAACTGTGTGTACCAGTTTCCCAAGTACTGCATGGAGGACACCTGTTCTATCATCATATGTATTTATGTTTCACAGGTTAAAAAAAACACCACCTGTTTTATTTTGCATTTGGATCTTAGAGGGGGAACAAGGGAAAAAGAAGGGAGGGAGGAGAGAGGCAAAAGTAGAATTGTGAACGGCGCTAAAATCAGGTGCATAGAGATCCTGGTAGATAAAGGATTTGGTATTTTATTACCGAAGTATAATAGAGTAGTAGGTATTTGATTATCAGCGATAAAAATTAGATGGTAATGACTTCAGGGAAAATCGCCTGACAGGCATGTGAAAGTTGCCTAGCGAATAACATAGTGACCCGGTGTAGGTTTTCTGAGCTTGTCCAGCATCACAGGAGCAGATGGTCTTAAGCACCGCTGCCTTTGAGGCTAACAGCCCCACACCTAACCCACTGGACCACCAGGGGCTTTCAGAGCAATGTATTTACCACAACAGACTCACTACCAGGGAGGCGATCACAGCTCATGTGGCCCAATAGGACAGGGCGAGCTGCCCTCATGGGTCTTGTTATTTTTGATTTGGGGAGAAGTCTTCCTGGTTGTTCCTCAGGATGTATTATTATCTGGACAGAAACAACGTCTCTTACAGAAGACAATGTAGAGCCCGCTGTGGTGCCTGGACCGCACCCTCTCGGTCACCACCATGCAGCCGAACTCTCTCTGGGGCTTATGAAACGGTAACTCTTTACAGGAGTCAAAAGCCTCTACTTTCTCTAGCACACTGGCTGATGGTTTCAAATCAGGGACCTTGTGGTTTTTAGCCCAACTCTTAAACACTGCGCCCCCAGGACTGCCCCTTAGGGACGCCTTGAGTCTGTTTACGAGAAAATGCAGGTCTGGGAAGACATTCCATGTATTCAAAGTCACCGGGACCAACTCTCAGCTATACAAAACTGAAATGTATACATTACAGATGGTTTGATAACTCCTGACAGGTGGAATGATTTCGTCTACAAATTTCATCATCGTTTCCTTGTTTCCGAGAGACCTTCAACCCCAAGAGCAACCCTCTAGGGCGCTAACAGACATGCGACAAGCATAGTCCGTGTGGTTGAGATGTGGTTCTTACTTTTTGATCAATGTATCTGTTGTCATCGATGGCAGACCTCTTGGAGTGGTCGCATGAGGAGGAAGAGGCTGAAGGGAGGCTTCGCAAGAGGCAGCAGGTGTCCTGTTGCTGGCGATCAATAAACTGCTTCATAAAGCTTTCCCTTTGCAAACGAAACACACACACAACAAGCGCTATTAATGAAATGGAGCAAGGGATGGCATTTGGCAGTGAGGCCTCTGTTTGAGTTAAGATAAAGCCATGAAAAAAGATGAGTGAGTGGTGTTTACTTTTAATTACTAAAATATCCCTTTCAGGAGGGATTTCTGAATCTTCAGCTACACCTGCTTAAAATGTTCATTTGAAAGCAATAATATTCAATCATTTATGGCATTTTAAAAATCCTATTACTGTAGTGATACAACACTTTTTGCTCGCTCTAAGAACTGGGAAAACTAGATGATCTCTCTGACCTCCCATTTATCTTAGGAGTGGCCGAGAGATCATTTTACACTGTAAGCCTCAAAATCACTCACTTCATCTGATCTCCACAGTATGGTGAGAATTCAAATGAAATTTCTTCAAATAACCACTAATCCTGAATCTAATTAACAGCTCTTTCATATTTTGCATTTCAGGTTCTACATTTCATTTAAAATCAGGAATGAGAATGTAGTTCCATTTGAATTTTAAATATGATGGTGCCACACAAATCTCATACTTTTATCATCCCCCAGAGGTTTGTTTTCAAAAAGATTCAAGTAAACATTTCATATCATTCTGATTCTATTTCTAATTTGTGAGCTATAGTTAGGTGAGCTATGGTTAGTTTCTTTTATACTTCCTTTGCATTACACCCAAAATGATGTTTTAAAAATGGATGCATTTGCTTAATGGGAAGTAAAACATGGGGGGCGGGAAATCTCTGTGAATTGTAAGACAAATTAGTGTGCTCACAGACAGACGCAGCTTAGTCAACAAATGCCAGAGTGGTACCAACCCTAGTCCCAGATGGCGTCTCAAGCTACCTGGAAAGGCAGGAGCTGACAGGCAGGTTTGTCTGGATAAGGGTGTGAGGCTGATAGCTACGTGTCTTCCAGGCAACATAGAGTACCTTCTCGGGTTACCTGGGAGGGCAGCTCCTCAAGAGGCACCCTCCTTCCTACGCAGTTTGAAAGGGACTCTTCTCTGAACGTGTTGTTCAAAGGGACCGAGGGTTTCTCAAAGAGCGTTATTGAGAGCACACATCTAGGAAATCATGTCAGAGTAGGAAAATTATGGCTGTGCTGGCCATCAGGACTGACATCTGATTTTCAAATGAATCTTTCCCAGTGCATTTACAATGAAAGGCAGACGTTACTACCTGATTTTAGGGACTGTAAAATCTGAAGGCAGCTTGGAGATCTTCACCATTTGTGGTCTGTTGGGGAATTTTTCAAAGATTCGCAGGCGCAAAGGGAGCTTTTCCTTGGTGTCTGCATTTGCTTCACTTTGCTTCAACTAAAGAGAAATTGGAAACAGAAAAGGAAAAAAGGAAGAAACGGAACATTAGAGCGCAGAATCGAAAGAACAATGAGTGATTCCGATCGGAAACAGAAGATGGCAGCAAAGACCTGCCCAGCATCATCCCCCTGCGCGCCATCCTGGGCTTTCCTTGTGCTGACACTTAAGAGATGTAACATCAAAACAAAGCATAACCAAACGAGAGTCGTCATGTTATTCCCTACTATAAGACTCTTTAGAGCTCTAGTGACATGGTGGTTAGCCATTGGGCTGCTAATCATAAGGTCAACAGTTCGAAACCACAGCCACTCCACAGGAGACAGCCGAAGCTTTCTACTCCCATAAAGAATTCCTCTCAGAAACCCACAGGGGAAGGTGTTATCCTGTCCTGTAATGTCGCTTTGAGTCGGAATCAACTCAATAACAGTGCTTTTTTAAAAAAATTAAGATTCTATCATTGCAAATGTTACTGTTTTATTGTCTGCTTAATTATGATTACAAACACATCTACACAATACATTCTACTTGAAAAAATATGCATATTTGAGTTACCAGAAGAGTAACAATTAAATGAAAATATGAACTACAGAATCAATTAGTGGTGTATTTGAAAAGAGAGAATATAGCAAGAAAATTCATGATTTACTATAGCCGAGATGACAATTTTTTAAAAGCTCAAAATAAGAAAAAAAAACAACAAAACATTTGGCACAGAGAGAATATAAAGAAGCTTGATCATTATTAAATACCACAAGATATCTTTATGAGAAAGAACAAGGAAGTGTTTGCATTATTTATTTTTGTAAGATTGTGTGTGTGTGTGTGTGTGTGTGTGTGTGTGTGTATTTCTAGGAATTGTGCTCAGGGAAGCTAGGGCTAACATAATGACCCTGAGCAAATACTGAGAGGGGCCGGGAGAACTCTGACCTTTCCAATGTGGTAAAGGGCTTGTGTACTTTTTTACATTCCATTCTTGCCTCTCCCCAAACGGTCTTCCCTTGGCCCATCCTGGGCAAGGGGTTAGGCTGCTAGCTACAAAGTCTATGGTTCCGACCCACCAGCTGGCCCAAAAGAGAAAGATGAGACTGTTCCTATGAAGATGTGCCATCTTGGGGACCCTGGGGTTAGATTCAATTGGATGGCAGGGCGTTTGCTTTGGGTTAATTTCTCTCAGGCTACCCCAAGTCCTTACTCTAGGGTCTGTAATACCTTCTCAAAAGAACATCTTTCATTTAAATTACCTTTGTAGGGGGACAGAGAGGCATGTTTAAAATATATATTAGCTTGCTACCCTTTTGTTGGATATGCTTTTACTTTATTTTTATAACTTTGGCTTGCGTTCCTGAAAACATCAATATCAGGGACACAGAACTTCTAAAACAGATACAAAGTGGTGGCAACCCTTTCCATCAACTCCTATGTGGATATCCAAAATGGCCACAGAGAACATTAGTCCTGCATTTTGGAAAAATGTCCCAATTTCAATATCATACATGGCTCAATAATCTGTCTATGAGATCAGAGGGAGGTTATATTCTTTGATTTTCAGTTCACAAAATGCATCCCCTCTTGATTCCCCTATGGAGGTTATTATAACCTTCTTGTTTTGTACAACAGAAAAAAATTCTTGTAGGCATTTATAGATCTTATTTAATTTTGTAGGCACCCTAGTGAAGGAGTGGGTTAGTCATTGTATTGCTAGTCTTAAGGTCAGCAGTTTGAAACCACCAGCCACTCTGTGATAGAAAGATGAGGCTTTCCACTCTTGTGAAGATTTACCAGTCTCAGAAACCCTCAGGGGCAGGTGCACTCTGCCTCATAGGGCCACAATGGGTTGGGATAGACTTGGTGGCAGTGAGTTTGATATTGTTGCTTTAATTTTGTTGGTAGCCTTCTGTTTCCTCTGTCCTAGTTGGCATCTCCTTTAGGGAGAGGGGCCCAGCTCGGTGCTGCCTTCTTCACTCCTTAGATGGCGCACCGAATAGAGCACTGTGCAGAATGGTGGCACAATCTCAATACTTCGAAGGTTAGGGTGACAACCATGATGATAACTAGCTCCCAAGGCACACAGTAGAAGCTGCTGACACTTCATACATAATAAAGATAGTAACCAGTTAAAGATTTGTGTCCTAAAATATGGTTGAAACAACTGGTCTAAAACCAGGTCAGTGGTCAGGGCACACTTTAGAGTACACAGAAAAATAAAACAAAATTTCAAGTTAATTTACTTAGACCACAGCGTGAGGCTACCTATAAGAGCAAAGGGATGGTGGTAAGATAGAGCAAAAATAAGGTCTTTGTTAATTCACTCGTATGTAGATTTTTTCCCTTTATGCCTTAATGTACCCATTTATAAATCATATCTTATAGGTCAAGTGGAGTCCTTGGGTAGTATACATAGTTAATGAACACTTCTGTCAAAAACTGTCAAAAATCCAATCAAGCACAATTCTATATAGGGCCACCATGAGGCAGCATCAGTTTGGTGGCAACAGTTGTTTATTTTTTATAAACAGTTCTGGCGGCTCAGTGGGTTAAGTAAGCTTAGGTTGCTAACTGCAAGATTGGTGGTTCAAACTTACAAGGCACTCCATGGAAGAAAAATGAGGCTCTCAGCTCCTATAAAGATTTACATCTTAGAAACCTTCTATAGAACCTTCTATAGACCTATGACACTGTGGGCTGGACGTTGGGCTGCTAGCTGCAAGGTCAGCAGTTCAAACTCCCCGGCTGCTCCATGGGAGAATAATGAGTCCGTCTGCTTCTAGAAAGCTTTACAGTTTCAGAAAACCTCACTCTGTCCTATTGAGTGGGCGTTAACTGGATGGCAGTGGGTGGGGTTTTCAGGGGTCTGTTTGTTTGTTTGTTTTACAGGGATACATTCTAGATTATAAGTAAAACAGACAGCATACTGAGCCCAGAGTAGGTATTTACATAAACAGACGAAGACAGTACAACACAGTAGCTCGTGTCGCTGAAATACGGACAGAGAATTGTGGTACCCTAAGGATTGGGAACAAGGGGAGAATTGAGCAGACAGAAAGGTGCTACCTCAGAAATTCCTTGGGCAGTCACACGGCTACATATGACTGTGTTAGCCAACACTGGGTTCGCGATGCAGCAGAGCTGTCATGTATATTTTATGAGAATGAAGATCTTCAGAGAAACACAAGAGCACACAGCATGTTAATCAGGGAATTTCATTAAAATAAAAATTGTGGCTCTCTCCCCCAAACCTTTCAAGTTGTCCATTTCTCTCCGTTTCCACCGTGCTCTTTTTCAAAGCTGTCACCTTGGGTCCCGCGTGCCTCTGCCCCTCCATCCTTTAGGACTCCCTCTAATTTGCTCTCCATTCTGTGTTCCAAGTAAGCCTCTCCTCTCCAGATGTCACCCCCAATGGCTTCCCATTGCACATATGAGACAAAAATCAAAATCTTGATTCTACTTGTTCATAGCCCTGAGGGTACAGTAGGTTATGTGTTAGGTTCTTAAATCACAGCATTAGATGTGAATTATATACCAATAAATCTGCAAAGAAAAAAAAGTATTATAACAACGAAAACCCTATGGAGCCCATGTACTTGCTAATGAATGCCTGGGTTCACCAGGAGCTGGAATTGACAGCCATGGTTTTGGTTTGAGGTTTGTATGCAGCCCTGATAGTGTAGTGGTTACACATGGGCTGCTAACTGAAAGGTTAGCAGTTCAAAACCACCAGCTGTTCTGTGGAGAAAGTCAGGGTTTTCTTCTCCCTTATAGAGCTATCGTCTTAGAAACTCACTGGGGTAGTTATACACTATCCCATAGGATTGTTATGAGTCAGTCTTGAATCAAAGGCAGTAAGTTTTAAAGATTTTTTTCCCTTTATGTATATTATAGCTCATGGGAAGAATACAGGTTTCCTTTGTTTTATAAAAGAGGAAGATGGTTCAGTGAGTAAATAATTTTGCTCTTCAATACTGTTATCACCATAATCTTGATTATTTTTCTTTTCTCTGTCCATGATCCTGCCCCTTAGACAAAAAGAGTGAAAAAGAGGAAAGGGTAATATGGGATTAAAGTACGTGTGTGTGTGTGCATGCGTGTGCGCGCGCAGGAAAGATAAGGAAAACAGAGTAATAAAATCATTTCATAGTACTTTGAAGCTACTGTAAGCTATCTTTAAAGTGTGATAAAATAGTATTCTACATCCAAATTCATTTTCCTTTTTGTCATTAAGCAAGAAAGTATTTCCCCACCCAGAAGAAAGAAGAGTGATGGAAAACCTAAGGAAACGTGCAAACAATGGATTCATGGACCACACAATCATCAGTCTCCACAGCCTTGAGAATTTACCACTCACTACCCACTGCTCTGCAAAGGGTCATATTAGAAGGTCCTGGAGAGAGTGGGTGAAAATTTTGGAACAAAACTCAAGATCACAACAGAGAAGAGAGACTGACGGAACACTCGAGACTCTAGTCCTTAGTCCTCTTTCATGTCTGGAATTTGACCCATGTTAGATTCATCAACCATTTAAGATCAAAGGGGCACCACTTGCCTAAGTTCAGAGAGTTAGGAAAGAGAGGTAGGAGAACGGAAACAGGAGACACGGGGGTAGTGTGGGACATTAAGGGAACTGCTTGCAATGGTTGAGTTGAAATAAAACGCATCTGAATTGTTGAATGTAAAACTGTTAATTTGCTAGTTAAATCCTCCCTCAATTCTCAAAACAAAAAATAAAGTTGCTTTAATGCGCTTGGTTCAATAATATAGATTCTAAGAACTGAACATATACATTTCCCATCATTATAACCTACTGCTGTTGAGTTGATGGCAACTCCAATGACCAGATAGGACCAAGTACAATGGCTCCTGAGGAGCTTCTGAAAGTATAAATCTCCATAGGAACAGGCAGCCTCATCCTTCTCCCAAGAAGTAGCTGGTGAGGTTGAAAAGCAAACTTTGCAGGTAGCAGCCCCAAAGCTAACACAGCAGCACCACCAGAGTCTAAATCT